TAGAACAAATGTCAGAGCTGGTCAGATAAGACGAGGCAGTGCTGTGCATGCCACGGGAAAGATTGGAATGGGCTCCAATCAAACCTTGCTGCGCAGCGGAACGGGTGGTACCCAGAGCCAACTGTCAGCGTGAATTCCTTCTGCTGTCCTCGAACTGTCCCAGAAATAATTGTGGCTGTGGCAGGAAACGTGTCCTGACGGGGTCTGTGTGGCTCTGTAGGGAGAGGAAGAGGCTGCAGCTGGGCTGGAGCATCTGATGGTGCTCAGCAGCACGAGCTGATTCACGACTCGCTCATCCCAAGTGTGTGTTTACATCTGAGTGCCAGTTTGTGCTCCGGCGTCTCTTGGAAGGGAGGGAAAAGTCCTTTCTAGGACGGTGGGCATGCAGGATTTGGAGCTTTGATGCAGGGAGGGGTGCAGCAGGCTGGTTTCCCTCAGGTCACGCTCTTGGCACGTTTTTGGGGGGTTCAGGAAACTTGGCAGATGAGCGAGCGTGACGCGGTCGGGAGGGCGGCTGCTGCTGCGAGATAAGAGCCAGTCACTCGTGGAAACAGGGCCTTCCTGCGTCCTGAGGACTTGCTGGGTGTTCAGGGGGTGGATGACTCCTCTTGGGTTCTGTCAGCACTGTCTGGTGTTACTGCAGTGCTGCGGGAGGACAGCAGGGCTTTCACTGCCCAGCTCACCCGCTGGCAGCGTGCCCCGGCTCCATCCCGACGGACAAAAGCTGTTTGACTTCCAGCCTGGAGCACAGAGGAGTCTTCTGGCTGGTGGGTTCACCCTTCCCGAGGCACTTGTGTGGGTTAATCTCGAAGATGTGGCACGATTGCAGAGGAAAAACCAAAAAGCAAATTTCCAAGTGATCCTAAACATAGCTAAAAAGGAGTCTGGGAAAGCAGAAGTGCCGTGCTTCCTGGCAGCCGGGCACTTGGATTTGGTCCTGTTTCAGCAAGCACAATGAGAGTTATTTATTCCCCCTTTCCTCCCCAACCAGTGTTTTGAATGGGAATGGATGAATTGCACTTGTCTCGCTGATGTGAACGGAGCAGGGAGGCCTTCTGGATTTCCCTTGTCTGAAAGGGAAGGTTTAATTGGGAGAACCCTACAGAGTGCAAGGGGTTGGTTCTTTTCCGAATTTCTGTCCTGCTTTTGTCCCCTTTGGAAGCTGGAGGGGTTGGATGTCGAGTGGGTTTGCTCCCCAGTGGTAGGATTGAGTGGGTTTTGTGCTGCTGCTGGCTCTGTTCAGCTGTGCAAGAGGTAAGAGGGCTGGAAGGAAACCTGTTTCCTGGGTGTTGGCCCCGTGCCTTTTGGTGTTTTGGTTTTGCTTCAGTGCAAGGCGCTGCTTCTCTCTTGTGAATGATCTTGGCTATCTTGAAGATTATCAGGAAAGGCTTTGAGCTTATTTGTCAGCAGAACATCTGGTGTTCAGAGCCAGGTTCAGAGCCTAGCTCCCTCCTTGAGGTTTATTCCTGTAGTTTGTGCTCCAGGAGGCAAATGTGTGTCCCAGGAGTTCTTCTGCTGGATTACTCCTTTAGTGAAGGAGAAGCTGCTCCGTGGTGCCCCTGGGCCACATCAGGGGGTCACTGGCCCGTTTCTTGCAGCTCCATTTTCCACGTTGTTCCCAGGGTGGTGGTTTCATCCAGACCACTCCTGTCAGGTGCAGGTCGGCAGGAAAATGAGCCTGTATCCAAGATGGACTTCTGTGGGAAGGCTGGTGCTTATGGGGGGTAGTGGATGCCACTGAGTGCAATCAGAAGCACCTCTGCCCTCCTTCAGATCCCAAGAAAGCTGCTTGTAGGCCTGTGTGGACAGAAACAAGGATCTTGTTTCTTCCTGGGTAGTCCTTTGGGAAATACTATTTTTTAAAGTTGTCTTTCCCTGGAAGTGTCCAAGGCCAGGTTGGATGAGGCTTGAAGCAACCTGGTCTAGTGGGAAACCTCTTTGCAGGGTTGGAGCTGGATGATCTTTAGGATCCCTTCCATCCCACACCATCTATGATCTTTCCTATATAACCCAACTATCAGTACACCTTGAAGTCTTCTTCCCGGTGTAACAGCTGCTGATGGTTTAAGGCTTGCTGCCAGCTCTGCTTCCTAACATGTCATTATTTTTATTTGTTTGGTGCTTTTTTGACAGAAGCAGCCGTCAGCAGGTCCTTGGAGCTTTGACTCCCGTGTTCACAACGAGCTTCTGAGCCGATGCATCCAGCGCTCTGGGTAGAAAAGCGAGTTCAGGTGAGTAAATGAGCTTTGCATTTTTAAGCACGTGTGTTTTTGGTGTGTTTATTCAGTGCTTTGTTTGCTGCGACCTGAGTTTGGGCTAGTTCTCGGTTTGGATTTGGGTGGGCAGATACCCATTTCCCTTTGGATATCACACAGACTGCCAAACTCTGGTAGCAGAACTTGGGAAGATGTAGGTTGTGGATAAATGCTCCCCAAACCCTGCTTATAAGGAAATCTTTGCTGTTGAAAGTGGAGTGGTACACTGGCTAGAGAACCAGACTGGTGGCTGGAATATCTGTTTTCCATTCCCAGTTCTGGCTTTGACACAGGTGAATGACCTGCAAAGATAAAATAAATGGGGTTGTATGGCCTTTCTTGCTGCTTGTAGTTGTGTTTTTGTCTCTTAATAATCCTCTGAAGCTGCGTGGGGATTTTCTGAAAGGCATCTTGTAAGATTTGTCGTGGTTTTGTTGGGTTTGATCCTTGCTGGAAAAGCTCCGTGACCGATTGAAGAGTTGGAGGGAGAGGTGTAGTAAAAATCAGAAAATAAAATGGAGCTACTGGGCGTAGAAATTGTGAGAAAGAATGTGTTTTAAAAGCTGTTATTTGTTTGTGTGTAGCCCCAGTGACCAACACACTGAGTGAACGAAGTCCCTTGCACCTCCCATTCCTAGCTGGGAAAGCTGTTGCCTTTTTCCCCCCAAGTGTTTTGGGATATTAGTGAACCTGAACTGGCTGATCCTGAGAGGCTGTGGTGAGAGACAGAGCAGAAAAGCAGCTTTCAGGTGTGATTCTTCCTGATGCAGTTGTGATTTTTTTTTTTTTTCCTGTGGTACCCTGAGGAAATTTGTTTTTGGAAGATTTGGTTTTAGCCCTTCTGTGGCTGTCCTGATGTTCCAGGTATGTGGGTCTCAAGGGTTGATTAATTAAGGTGTTGAGTGGCTTTTCCACAGAAATACCACCAGGAATAATGAGAAAAACGTTGTGGCTAAACATCAGCGCTGCTAAAATTGAGGGAACTGATAGCTTTGGGGGTTTTTTTTGCATGTTGCAGGTCGGGTGAATTGGTCTGAGCAGGTTTTTGGAGCTGTTGTTTCCTGAAAGCTGCACCTTATGTCGCAGTGGTTCAGGACAAACTGTAATATTTAGCCTTGTTTTCAGCAGCCGTGAAAAATTCCTGTTTTCCCCACCCTCCTTCACCTACATCAATATTAAGAGCAGAAGATGCTTTTAGCAGAGACCAGGAGCTCCTGTCACTGCGTTGATTCAGCTTCTGTTTGCTCTTGCACCCAGCACACAGACCTGGTGAATAATGCAGTGACCTATTACTTAAAGTTTAATGCAGGTTTAATCGGGGTTGAGCAGCAACAGGTGCAGTTGCAAGAGGCTGCTTTGGAAAAGATTCCGAGCAAAACGTTGTGGGGTCTGTGTTGTTGGGTTGTTCCCTCTGAGCAGGGCAGGGATTGTCCCTGTGCTGTGCCCAGTTCTGGGCCCTCTGGAACATCTGATTTTTGTGTATTTCTTTCAGTAGAGGACAACATATGTTGTTCTGGACTCAGAGGGGGTGTCACAAAGCACATGGATAACTTTTTGCTGAGATCCAGGGATCTCACATAGTAGAATATCAAGACACTGCTGTCTTTTCAATGGCTTTTTTTTTCTTTCTTTCTCTCTTTTTGGTATGAGTATTATTTTTTTAAACAAAGGAAAAACATCCCTTTCCTCAATTGTTCGCTTTGCAGAACTCGAGCCTTAAAATAATCCAGGAAACCTTTTGTTATATAAATATACTCATCCTCCTCCTTGGCACAGAACGTTTTGCTAGAGCTGAATTGCTGAATTCTCTCTTAAAACTTAAATTTCAGTGGCTCTGAAGGAGAAACCCAGGGCTCAGAGAGCAAAGCAGGCACTGATTGCTGTGTGATCACAGTGTAACAGTGGTGTGTAAAGCAGACAGAGCAGTGCAGAACAGAACGGTGGCTGTTGTGCCTGGAACTCCGTTCCTGTGTCTCAGGGATTTTTTGTTTTAAGCTTGTTACAGTCAGGTGTGCTTACACCTCCCAAATTTAGCTCCATGGGAACAGGGCCTGGGTGTTTGTGCCGTCTTTGGTAAATATTTGTGCTTAAGTTGGTTGTGCAGAAATAGAAATGTGTGTGTGAGTACAGCAAAGGGCTCGGAATGGTTAAAAGTAAATTCCAGTGCAGGCTACTCAGCAGTCAGAATTCCCAATTAAATGGGCAGCAGTCGGCTGGAGCAGATGTTTAAAAAGAAAATGGACCAAAAAAAATCACCACCAAAAAACAAAAAAAACCCACAACCCAATACCCACCCCCACCAACCACCCACCCCCCTGGGAAATGTCACATAATCTTTGTTAAAAGTGGTGACTGGTTTCTGGGTGCTGTCTTGTGCGTGTCTGAACACCTTTGGGGGGAATTTATGAATCACTTGCAGAACTGAATGTGACTTCGGGAGTGTTTCTGTGTCCTCTGCAGGCCACGAGTTCATCGTGACACTGACTTTTTGAGTGATACCTTTGCTTTGCTTCAGGCCTGAGCTCGAACAGGTTGAAGTATCCCAGTGGAAGCACTGCCTTATTCCCCCTCTGCCAACAGCTGGGAACACCTTTTCCAACCTGCTGCTGGCTTTGCCCTCACACTCTGAGAAACCATGGGCATCCTCCTCAGCTCCTGTTTGGACTCCTCTAGTAACCTTCAGGTTGGACCTGAAGAATCAGGAGGAATTTCTTCTTGGAGAAGGTTGTCAGGCTGCCCAGAGAGGTGGTGGAGTCCCCGTCCCTGGAGGTGTTCAGGGGAGGACTGGACGTGGCGCTTATCCAAAACCTAAAAGTCTAATGGGATTTTGGAGCAGAGGTTGTGTGTGTTCCCCGTGTTCAGCTTGGCTCGATTGTCTTGGGTTTTGGTAAACTTCCTAGCTGCTTATTAAATAGCTTGGCTGGTTCTGTGCTGTTGATCGTTTCAATCTTGTCTCCTAAATTCATTTACCTTCAGACACGGAGCTGCTCCCTTGTTTCTTGGAAAAGGCAAGGGATGTGCTGGCAGGAAGTGACTGCACTTGATGAAAATAGGCTGTACCTGCTGATGATTAATCCTTAACCTGAAGAAAGAACCTTCCTTTTCCAGCTTTGTCGCCTGAATTAGCAGATGATTGTTCCTTTGTCCCCAGGCTGACTCTGAGATTGATTCATGGCTTAGGGGCCCCAGTAATAGGATTTCCCGTCAGGGTGTGCTCACCGGCCCTCACAGGGCTTCAAAGGGAAAAAGGGTTTCCCCTCTTGCTTTGCATCCTCTTGGCTTGTGCTCCTTTTGGCCTTGACTTCATTTTTTTTTTTTTACTCCCTGAGCCTCGTAGACCCGAGGCTTCAGCTGGGACTTGATGGTTGGTGCCATCCCGACTCGTTTGGAGTGTCACATCCCCTCCCCAGGATGTGACAGGGGACAACGGGACAGGCCGTGCTCTGCTAGGGTTCAAGTGCTTGAGGAGTGAACGTAAATGAATTTAGTCTTTATTTGAAAGGCTTTGAACTAGAGCACAGCTCTTTTGCAGCTCTTTTTGCTCCCTTTGAAGGCTGAGCAGCTGCTGCTGAACTCGGGCTGTGCGTGACTGTTCCCTTCGCATGCAGTTAAAACATCAGCGATTACACTGACGTGCAAATGTTATTTTGTGCTGAAGTCATGCTGGAAATAGTTCAAAATGTCTTGTTTGTTTGGATTCACCATCTCGCTGAGCCCTAATCTTGTTTGGCTCTCTGGTTCCTGTCTGGTGTCTCTGCAAGCAGCAGAGCTGAGTTCAGGCTGAGGTGCTGAGGCTTTTGGGGTACCCAGGGCACCCTCTGGAGCTGCACCCCTGGAGCCTCAGGCTCTGAGGGCAGCACTGCTGGGGCTCGTGCCTTTAGGGAAGCTGCATTATTGATCAATGGTGTCCCCCTGAGCTTCAGTCAGGGATGCAACAGGTTGAACTAGACCCTGTGCCCCTCTCAGGGGAGACCCCCCCCCCCCCCTGCAGAGCTGCCCCCAGCCCTGGGGAACAGCACAGCAAGGACATGGAGATGATGGAGAGAGTCCAGAGGAGGCACCAAGAGGATCAGAGGATGGAGCAGCTCTGCTGGGAGGGTTGGGATTGTTCAGCCTGGAGAGGAGAAGCTTTGGGGTGACCTGATTGTGGCCTTCTGGAGTTGAAGGGAGCCCGCAAGAAACATGGAGAGAGACTATTTACAGAGGCCTGGAGGTGCCAGGACAAGGGGGAATGGCCTCCCACTGCCAGAGGGCAGGGTTAGATGGGATATTGGGAAGAAATCTTTCCCTGTGAGGGTGGTGGGGCCCTGGCACAGGTTGCCCAGAGAAGCTGGGGCTGCCCCTGGATCCCTGGAAGTGTCCAAGGCCAGGTTGGATGGGGCTTGGAGCCACCTGGGCTAGTGGAAGGTGTCCCTGCCCATCCATGGCAGGGAGTGGAGTGAGATGATCTTTAGGGTTCCTTTCAACTCAGACCATTCTGGGATTCAGTTTAATAGCTCTCTCTTTCTGGACAAGCACTGACTCATTAGTTCATAATTTTAATGACAGATGCAGTTCTTTGAAATGACTGCATGGTTTAATTTTTTAATTTATTTTCATTTTGATTTTCATTTATTGCTCAGCAGATAATATGGTTATTGGGATTCTTGCACAAGGAACTTTGTTGCGGTTCATTCCTGAAATGTTTTTGCGTGTGTTTTCAAGATACATGAAATCAAAAAGGTTTTTTTTTTTTCTGGCCTGTGCTGTCCCCATTCCCAGTGAGTAGCTGAAAGGCTGTCAGCAACTGTTCTGACAGATTTCCGTGTACTGCTTGGGAAGACAAAATGTTACATTTAACATACTTTGCTCGGTAGGGATAAGTGGCAGAAAGACAAGGGCCCTGCTTTGCATAAATGCTGCTGCTGCTGTTATTGGTGTGTGTCATCCAGGTTGCTCCACGTGTTTTGGGAATGCTGTTGCTGATCCAAATTAGATGATGCAGCTGCTTGTGTCTGCCCCCTGCTCAAGGTGCTGGTGGAGTGTGTCTGGCACAGCACAGTGCCCTGCCGTGGTGCTGGTTCTTCCAACCCTGTCTGCTCCAAAAATAGTGATCTGGCCTGAAAAGCATTGACATGGAGCCAGCAGCAGGTGCAGACTCGAGCACTGTAGGTGAGGCAGAGGTGGATTAACAGGTCTGGGCTTAGCAGGCGGCAAGGACAGCGTGCAACTTGCCTGGAATCAGGAGCCCACTCCACCTGCTCTTCCTCTTTTGGTCCTCTGTGCAGCTCCTCAGCTGAGTGCCGAGGCTGCCAAGGCACCGTCTCCAGTCGTGGAGTTCTGCTGATGTGTTTGAAGTCCCCAGACAGTTGATCAGGCAAACCTGCTGCTAAATGGATGATCTGATTGCCGGTGAAGGCTGTGATCGTAAACATTACCCTACATCACAGAAGTGATTTGAAAACCGGTGTGTACTCCTCGAGCTGTCACTTGTCTTCCCTCGTGCTCTTTCATCTCCCAAGTGCTCGTGCTGAAGCTCGGATAACCCTCCCTGTCAGCGGTTAGAGGGTGTCTCTTCCTGCCTCCAGCTCCTTCATGTAGCTCTACCTGGCAGTTTAAAAGCTGTTTACAAAGGACATGAGGCTGTTGTAGCTGCTGTTTCTCTAATAAAGCAAGGGGAGCTTTCTGCTCAGAACCCCTGCGTGCTACAAGGTCAGTGAAGCTGTTAAGCAGCAATTAGTTACTAAAAAAAAAAGGAAAAAAAAAGGGCAGTTTTTTGTTTCTCTGCACTTCCATATTGCTGGTGGCCTGTCAGGAATTAATAAATAGAGGTGACCAAAGTGCATGTTTATATATTTATTTGATTATCTGCAAAGCACAAACAGCTTGAGGTGTGTGGAGGAAGGCAAATGCACGGACAGGGTTGTGGTTAATTCCTTTCTCTGGAGTGGAATTTCTGCCCTGGTGGAAATGGCATTTTGGAACTGAGAAATTTCGAGGTTACTGCACTTTGCAGTCTCTTTCCTCTCTCTGAAGCCTAATGCTTGTTTCCACAAGCAAGGATGCAAAAACATGATTAGTTTGGGGTTTTGTTCTGTTCATGGGAGGCTTTTTTTACTGAATTTGGAGATCCTTACACTGAAAATGCCTGTGGAGTCAAAGTGCTGAATGAACAAATATTATTAGTGAAGTAGGAGAAAACAGAACAAGCTGCTGTAAAAAGAAAATAATTTTAAAACCCCGTTTTCTCCGTGATTCCACGCATCTCGAATCCTCCATCTCCAAAAAGAGAGAGGTTCAGCACAGGATGCTGAAGGTGATCAAAGGTGCAGAGCACCTGTTGTATAAAAGCAGGTAAATCAACTTTGACTCTTTAGTGTGGAGAAGAAATGGTTGTGAAGGGAGGGAGTGAGAACAGGAATGTTATGAGAGTGAGCTTTGCATCTTCCAAAGAGGTGATTGTACCCAGGCCTTCCTCACTGGGAAAAAAACCAAACAACAAGGAAGCATGAGCTTATAACAAGGGAAAGTTTTGCTTTTGGCAGTGTTGTTCTTGTGGTGATGTTTTTGTTTTGGTGGTGTGGTTACTCTGTGGTATTCCCTGCTGCAGGAATGTTGCTGGAAGGTTAGAGGTTCAAAGGAGGCTGGATAAAACCCAGCCATGGCTGTTGCAGACTCCTGGCTCTGGGAACAGTTATTAAAACAACGTTTTGAAGAATCCCAGACTGGGTCTGGCTGGAAGGGACCATGGTGGGGATCTGCTCCCACCTCCCTGCTCCAGCAGGGCCAGCCCAGAGCACATGGCACAGGAGTGTGTCCAGACAGCTCTGGGATATCTCCAGTGAGGAGACTCCACACCCTCTCTGTTCAGGGCAGGATTTCTCAGCTCCCATATAATGACAAATGACTCAGGTGGTAACAAGCTGGTGTTGAGGAGCAGATGATTGCAGCAGGTGTCCTGGCTGTGATTCCCTGTGTTCCTTGACCAAGGTTTTGCAGCCTGGAGCTCCCGGGAGCGCGCTGGGAGCCGGGTGGGTTGGAGTGGCAGCGTGCCAGCTGGTGCCTTGGGGTGATGATCAGGTTACTGGGATGCCTTGGAGACAGATGGGCTCCAGCATTACCCTGGAAACTCGATTTTCAGCGTGACGTAATGTTTTGGGAGAGCTGGAACTCTGGGATCGCACCCTCACACGGGGAGGGTGAAGGTTTCTTGTGCTCTACGTCACTCTTTACTACAGGGAGGTGGTTTGCTTGGCTGGCATATGAAAGGAGCGCATTTCCTTGGAGATGTTGATGCTCAGCAGCACGTGGGTGTTAGGAGGCTTTGGGAGGTGGAGGAGGATGGAGATGGAATAATGTCCTTTGAATCAGAGCTGTTTTGGTGTGCTAGAAGGAAACTGGCAGCTGTAAAAAGAGGTGGGGGGGAGCCCTCAAACATTGGACTGCTCACTCCATGGTTTTGCGGGGACTCAGAGCAGGAGGTGTTGAATTTACAGTGGGTTGAGTGGGGTGAAAATCCAAGTGTTTGTGGGGGTCACAGCTGCTCAGCAGTGATACCTTGGTAATCAAAAGAGTCTTGGATCAGTAGGCTCCATCCCAAGACGTGGACTTGGTGACCTGTGTGGTAACTTTGAGAGTAAATTCCAGGTGATTTATCCCTCTTCTGATCTCTCTTGAACTCCGGATTGCTCGCCTCTGTTGCTGTCAAGTGGCTGCTTCTGTATTTATGAGCAAATCACAAACTACTGACCTGCTTTGCCTCCTGTGAAAGGCAAGTGATAGTTCTCGCTGGAGATGGCAAGGGCAGTATTTCTGGACGTGCTTGGACTGAATTTACCGTTAGGAACTGTTAGAAAAGCGGGGATGCTGACGATTGCTGGAAGGAGAAGCGTGTATTTACTGCGCGGTGGCAATGGATTTATAGACAGATAGTTTGGTTTGTAGATAAATATTTTTGCCTC